TAGTTGTTTTAATCATTTGAATAAGTTGATAATACATTATATGAAGTTAAAAGTCAGTTTTAGTGGTCATATGGCCATTGGAAACAAATATTGTGAATAGACTACTAAGTTAGAGACTAATATTTGATGAGACTAGTAAAACAATAGGATTTTAGTTTGTTTGTCACTTTTTGATTCAAAGTGTATGGAATAAGTCGTTCATATAGGTTACAAACTAACTCAAACAAGCAAGCTGTATGATGTGTTCTACCACAGCTTATTCCAACTAGTTCTTTATATTATATATGAACGGTCACAGAATGGTCACTTGAAGAGCCGTGCTAATTCGTAGTCACTGATATTTATTATTAACTAAATAGGGAACTGTTTTTGTTAGTCCATAGTATGATTTGCATTACTAAATAAGTGTCAGATAAAAAGGCTTAAAGTTAATGGCGCGAGTGTGTGCTACTTATATTGACATAAGTAGTATAAGATGTTAGTCGTGAACAGAAGTTCTGGCAGCAGAGAGACAAGAGGATCGAACAGTAAATAATGGAAACAAAATGCAATTTGTATGAATTGCAAGAACAATGAAGTCTGACTCATTTTGAGACAACTGGTGGACATTTTGCAAATTAAGCATTTACTTTATCATTGTTAGATTTTATTAACAAGTCCTGTAATTCTATGTCAAATACATTCGACTATCCCAACTGGTGTTTGTGTTCACTACACGAGAACCTCAATCACTTATTAAAGAATATGTGCAACTGACTACTTTTAGTCAGAACTATAATTAAGGATTTTATTTCTGCTTTTTTGCAACTTATTTATAAACCCAAGTTAATTTTGAGGATTTATGGCTAACTGGAGTATTCTGATGGATAAAACAAGTTGAAACAAAAATATATATTGGTTTATCCGGCTGCAGCAAAATAATTCCAACTTTCACGAAATTTTTGTTGTTCAGATAAAATCTATAAATGCGAAAGAAAACTGATAAGCGTTCGCCACTCCATTCATTCTTTGGTTTAACGAATAGTTTGCTGGACTGTTTTGTTAATTGTATAGTTTGTAAGTTTAGATCCGTTTGCCTCCCATTTCACAATATTGTTTTAAATTATATACCCTGAACACTCATATAAGAGGGTTTTCAGAGTGGCAGACAAATATCGAAGTACATCAATACGGAGCTATAATGTCATGGTAGTTTCATACTAGGACAAAATGGCCGTCCAGTGCTTCCACGTTTTCAATGGTGCTCTAGCATTCATCCATTATTGGTATCAACTTAAACTCAACAATCTCCACAACCCTATACTGACATTTATAAAAGGCTGGCTTTCGAATTAAGGCAACAAAAATTTACCTGTCTAGAAAAAGAGCTGTCACTCCCATTGTTTATACAAAAGACGAGCAACAAAAGTTATCTTAGCAATCAGAAAATTTGGTGAAATTTTTATATTGCACATATTTTGGTGATAAAGTTAAGAAACGGGATTACGATTTGAAATGTAGTTTGCATAACAATATATATTTTGCCTTTAAGAACCCGGATGTTCATGTTCATATTTTGGTAAGTGTATTATTATTACAAAATCGGATGGTTTATGACAATTTTTTTCCTCCTTATACACCGAGATGATTCACCTAGTGTGTTTAAAGTAAATACATTATTTTTATACCACTATCTTGCGTGTTCCTCTAACTCATGAATATCGTATTTCGCTTTAGCCATTTATTTTTCCGCTTTCACTTAAAATCGTTTTTGTTGAATAATTTCTGTTATCGTCTTGTTAAGAATAACCGAACTTTAATCGCTAAGACTTGCAAAGACATCCAGTAATCACCTAAACTTATTGATTTTCAGAAATTAGAGCTTTACGTCGACAAAATCCACTTTCTTGTTATTACAAATTATGCTTCAGACACATCCTTTTTTCTGAAATTATCAAGTCTAACCTTTTCATCAACATCCATAATCTATTTTTTCTTTTAAACTTCTGCACTATTCGATTGCATAGTGAAGACCAAAATAATTCGGTTAGAATGTAGCTTGTGATGGTGACTATGCTAGTATATTTGCAATTAATAGACGAAAGGAGTAGAAGTATGTGCGACCCATGTAACAAAGGGCTACAATCCTTTTTTAAGAACTACATCATTATACTGACTTAAATAAAACAAAATTACTAAAAAGTAGTATGATACGTTTGGCATGAATGTGTAGAATTATGGTCTACTATAATATTCATACTGCTCTAATAGTAAACATAATTCTGAAATTGTAGATTTATGATGTTATTGCCCAATCTATGAGATCTTACGTGGGAGTCACATCATTTTCTACCTTGATTCATTGCGTTGTAACAATCATCAATCTATGATGAAGAACACACTTAGAATAGAGATAAAACAGTATATTTAATATGGTCAAAAATGTTAAATAAAACCACGTCTGCAAGGCCGAGCCGCGCAATCCAATCAATTCTAATTAATTCATTTAATTCTTCTCGCCCTCTTCATCTTTGGGTTTTTTCCGTGTTATATATTGAATATATATTTTCCAACTAGTCTTGTGTTCAGCTTTGAGGATTGTGTGTTTATGGTCCAATGTCACTACAAATGCACTGACTTCCACAACTGAACATTGTTAGTTTAAAGTCAATGGTGCGGAAGCAACGTATAGTCAACTTTCACATAGACAATTAAGAGTGTTTGGATTATAGTACAAACTGGAGAATAATCCATGGTGGAACATAACATTTGATATGACATCAAGATTTGATTCTTTTGAAACATATTCCTCGATTTTACTAAGAATTTCATAAAAAATATCAATCATTAGAAAAGTAAGTACCTGTCAAGGCTGTGTAGTGACCTACTTTTATCAGGAGAACGTCATTGGTGTTATAGAAACAATTATTATTATAACTAATTGTATAAGGGATTGTTTCACCGTACCTGCCTGTTTAACTGTACCAAAACACATACTTTCTTTCGTTGATTGTGACCTTCCACGAATTCGGCTACGATCAGTAACCACACTTGTAACCTGGCATGATCTCGGTATTTTTTCGATATCACGAGATCTCCAACAAATACATCTCGACTACAGCCATCAACTGCCTTCTGATATTTGGCTTACGGGGATATTATCGGTTAACTGGCAAATAGTCTTCTTGTAGTGGTGTTCATAGTCAACCGCGACTCGACGCCACACTACAACTACATGGGATTTTCGATAATGATTTGCTTCGTTCAATATATTTTCCTCAGGTTTATAAGAAATTTTATCCGAAATATGTGAATTACTAAGAAAAACCTTATCCCGTAGAGTAACATGCGAAATCTGATCAGAAGGTGATTGACTAGAAACTTTTGTCTGACAAGGATTCTGAGTTACATTTAACTCTCGACTGATATGTGAATTTGTGTTGCTTCTCGAAGTCGTGGATAAAGACGAATTGTCATTAGAAACACCGAACTTAAAAGGATCACAATTGCACATTTTAGCACTAGCTGCAGCTAAATGAACCGTTGCATTGCAAACTGACTGAATTTGTCTGGTCGTACCACCTTTATAGCATTTAGAATTTAAAAAAATACACATGAATTACATGAGTCAAACGTGCCACAGAAGAAGCATCTACTGAACTTGTGCTCATCTTCGTGACCTGATCCACAACTCTATGAATTGTTATCTGAATAACCTTGATTACGTGTTAGACTAGTACAAAGAAGTAGTGGAATTCCTGATATCCTGACGAATCATTCTATGAAAATTTTCTCGTTTACTGCATTCTTTGTGCAATTCACATGAACTAGTTGTAGTACCTTAAGAGCTGCATAAGGAAGTGAGATCGGCTTTTCTGGGAATGCCAAAGTCTTTAATAAGCTGTATGCTTTTTTTCAGATGAATGCAAGGAAGTGAGACACAATATTGACATTTTCAACATGTTACTTGGTCATAGCTCAGATTTCGAATCTTTCATTCTAATCCTTAAAAGTATCAAAATCTGAAAGCACGTCCAATTGTTCCATGACATGCTTCATTGCAACACCAATGTTATGAGTATGAGTTTCTGAATTATGGTACAAACTAAGAATCTCAGAAATAACGCAATTTATTCAGGAAATACTGGATAAGCACGAACGAACGTACTGTATTTGGAATTCGAAATCAAGCAGTCATTAAGTACAAAGGAATCATTAATCCGTACAAACATCACATTTCTGACTATTTAATTTCCACAGAGACCTACTTCCAGTAGCTTATTTTGGTGCTGTAAAATTCTGAATGAAATAAGAGTAATGAGTTCTAATTCTGAAGTTGCAAGTTCTACACTCAATACTTCCGATCCAGAAACCAAGGAATATTTTCTCTAGAAAACGTCTATAATGCTCGCCAACGAAAAAATCTAACACGTCTACTCGTTCTGAGTGAAGTGTTGTATATAATAACGTCCTAGACAAATGATAGTTTTTCGAAAGCTTTCATCACAAATATGAAATACAGAATTTTAATTAGGTTTATTGCTCAATCACTTCATGTTGCCAAACCATCAACCTTCGTAGTACAGAAATATAGGAGGGCTTAAATCACTCTGCATTACATCGCACGTAATGTTTGCCATAGCAACTTATCGTTAGTATATTGCAATGCTCCAACACACCTGAGCATTTATCAATGTAGAGCAGAACCCGGATGGGAGGTGTAAGAATATATAAGAAGCTTCTAACGTTGAAGCATAAAGGTTGTGAATCCTTCGAAAGAAGATCCGACGATTTATTTAGTCCGATAGTTACTAAGGGAGATTATACTCTGTGTTAATCCTTGACCACTGTTTTTTTCTAAACACTGTAAAAGTCACTCAAGTTAAGAGAAAAATAGATCAAGAAATATAAGTTTTAGTAACCATGTAATCTCACCCGCTATGCAGAAATAAATTCTAAGGAATACTCGTGCTACAATAGTTTTTTTATTTTAACCTTGAAATATCGGCATTATGGAGCCTAAAACGACCACATCAAGGTCGGCGCTAGATACCAAACCTCGCGTCATGGCTGCAACAAGAGATGGAATGTCAAAACCAGGTACTATTGAGGTATGCTCTATATGGATTTTTGGAATCCAGGGGATGATATTGACCGGTTGGCTTTACGAATAAGTCTTGCTGACATTGATGAACAGTTTGAAAAAATTCTTCAAAAATCTTTGGTTTTCATCCTGAAGTATTTGTCAAAGTATGAAGATCATCGGAAAAAAGTGATAGAAATAATTTACGTTTACTTTTCTTAGCTCATGGAACTTCTCGGAGATGTGACTCGAAGACTCAGATGCAGGCCTAATATTCAGGTTCCTGTGCACGAATTATTGTTAAGTTACAATGATCCGTCAAACTCAGTGTTTTTGGTTAATTTCTCGCATATGTACATAAGACTAGGATTCCCGCGTCTACCCCTACGACAGAAAATAAAACTCTTTCCAGTATTATTCGCATCACTTTCTGATGATAAACCTATTTGCCAAAGAGACGGGTTTGTTAACGTCAATAAATTTTAGATTCCGCTAGTTTACTTCATTTAGTACTACCTGTTGTCGATAGTCTTACCAATGAATTGGCTCCGCGTGACCCATGTTTCAATGAACTCTTATACCAAAGACGTTACATTACAGACTTTTTCTCCTTAGTGATGCTTCTACCTTATAAGTTTGTTTACAAATTTATTCTAACCGGTTTTAAAGTTTTCAGAAATTAGTCAGATCAGATAGAAGTGATCCAACTATACCAGACGGGTACAATTCCTTCGATTTGGGTAGGATGTTACACGAACAATTTACCTGCATAACATCCGCTGAGGAACTGGAAAAGGTATGACCTTTACTGTAAACTCTCAAATCCCACACATACAGACTAAAACTAATATATGTATTTTCAGTCTCTTTTCACCATATTGAACCTTCCTGTTCACTAGTTTATCTACACATGGTCAATATTTATCCATACTTGAGATTTTGGCGATCTGTGTGCGTCGCTGACCTGGTGACACATAGGTCGGAAATGTATACATAAATCGGCCACTTTTGATTTTGTCCAAGAACACATTTAACTGATAGGTATTTGGACTTGACTATAATTAAGACGCTTTGTATCCAAATGCATAGATGGGATTGTACTCGAAAAGTTTGTTAACAAGGAATAAATGAAATCGAAGCGTTTTCCAACGAGTTTATCAGGTTAGTCAAAACGGGACATTTATCTATCAACCGTATCAAATGTGACCATTGACACCAGCGTTACATGATCTTGACCAGGTTTGCAGTTTTAGGAGGACTAAAACAGCATTTTTTGAATACGCACTATTGTACATATCAGCTTTAAACCACATAACCGTTAACATAGATCAGGTTGGTGTTACACTAAATCCTCTTGCGATATTTTGATCAAGAAACTGATTAGATTGTGTTCTAATTTTTTGAAATGAGGTGATCGTCTCCAATATTTTTAAGAAGGGTCTAGGTCACATGCGTAATAGCTATCAAGGGATAAGTATATTTTCCATTGCTTTTAACATATTGGCTTTTCCCATATTTCATAGGTTAATCAAAAACTGTGAAGAATTTACTCATGAGGAGCTATGTGGTCATCGTTTCGCTCGTGGATGCATCGATCGCATTTTTAGCCCCTATCTAACATTAGAACACTGCCACAAATTTCAGGCCAACAATTGTGTTCCTCGACATTAGTGCCCCTTTCGCTCATTGGGTGGAACTTTTATCTTGGATTGTCTGTTAAGGAACCTTACGCCTAATTAGTTGATTAACGTCTTGAATGCTCCGTACATAAACTCCGAGCAGAGTGACGGTGTACAACCACCTCATCTCAATGTTCTATTCGAGCAGTGGAGTTTAAAAGGGTTGCCTAATCTCATCGTTCATGTTCAATTTTGTAATGGATAGCATCCTGGGAACAGCTCCGGAGAAATTAAGTAGTGATGCTGTAGTCCTGGTACTTAGAGGAAAAATCATGAATGTGTCTATGATATTATCCTACTTCCATTATGTTTATGCTGTGCAAACTATTTAATTAGTGCTCGTAGTCATGGTATGTGCTTTGCATCTTCTAAGTGCGAAGTACTAATGCAAGGGCTACAGGAACCTGTGACCACTCGAAATAATCGAAACGTTCGAGCATTTAGATGTATAAGCGCTAGTGTAGTGAAAAAAATCTACGTACGATGATAACCAGGGTGGCTTACGTCAATATGGATCATTTTTAGAATCATCGTAATGCTAGTTTAGTTTTAAGAGGTCGGGTTTACAAAGCGTTGATAGAAGTAGTTTTACTCTATGTCTGAGAAACTTGCTCTTTCCGAGTTTGGGATGCTAGATGACTCTTTCTGTGTTCGAAAGTAGTTGTCTTCAAAGGATTGTTGACATTCAGTAGCAATGTCGTATTAGTAATATTAAGGTTTTGTAATGTGTTTTCGGGTGGTAAGAATAGTTCAGTCGGTGTCACCATCCTAAAACATCAACTTCGGCAGCTTGAACATGTCTTATTTAAGTCATCCCGTATGCTTCCACATCGTGCATTATTTGATGACGTTGTGACAATATGAGAGGCGGTCAACTTATCACATAGTGCTATGGTATGAAAAGAGTTGTATAGAACTGGCTTATCACAACTCGCTATTTGGGTTCCAAAAAATGGGCCAGCTCTATGGCTTAAGACGTTATCAGATATGGGTCATAGCCGGAATCGGTGGCGATCCTATGTTAATTCTTTATAAATATGAGAACCTAAACTAAAAGGATTCTGGATTTTTTTGTTTATATTACCAACAAAATTTCTATTGTACACTGTCCTTGCTAATTACTTCATTTATTTGTATTATTTTCACTCTCTTTAAATGTATATTCTTTTTCTCATCATGTTATCAATGCTTTGACTCAGTATGTTTCTTGGTTCCACATTGTACTGGATTTTATGTGCACAAATAAATAACCTGGGAATCGTGCACTTCAGAATGTTACCTTCTCGAACTTATTGACTTAATATTTAGTGTAAGGTTTGAATTATCTCGCTGGATATTAAAAAGCTGAATAATTAATTTAATACGCTTCCAGAAGGTTGTGTTTATTGCCTTGAGAATGCTCCGATATTTTCCGCCTGCCTCAATCTCATCAGCTAATCGTTTATGCCAATTTCAACAAAGTCGTTAAAATCCCTGATAAAAGTCACTTATCAGTTTAGCGTTGGTTGCTAAACTTCGACTCGATAAAAGTACATATACCACGATGATTAATATAATTATAAGTGAATTAAATGCTTGATTATGTCAAATTAGTGATTGGTAAACTTTTAAAAACGCAAATGTCTTCTGCTCCGGTTTAGGTAAATTCAGTGTTCTGATTTTCTTGGCACTGGATCAGATAGGGCTAATCAAACAGAAATGACTCAGAATCATCCGCAATGGTATAGGTCCATTCACTACCTTGTCTTCTCTTAGATCCAATGCTTTCAAGTCACTTTATGAATTTTTATCTACCACTAGTGCATATTTTTTGGAATCCTATTTTTAATGTATAGTTTTTCTTATTACCACTGATACTGTAACTGAATCAGCCACTCTGGAATTTGTTCTGACAGTTTCAACTTTCCACCATAATAATGTGGCAACTTAAACCGATGTACATATGTATTTGGTTCTACGTTGCGTGTGCCTGATTGACTGAATCAAACTTACTTGTACCTCTGATGATACATTTGATATTCAACATAGTTAACACTAGATGTTTTGTGTATAACGATCTCCTTTTACATTTTGAATCACAGCAGCAATATTGGTAAGTAATATAACAGAAACCCGAAATTAAAATGACAAGCGGTTGCACGAGAAAAGCGGAATAAACACATGATAAACATTTTTAAGTGCCAAGTAACGAGATGATTAATTTTTCATAACCCTTGACATGACTTGTACAAACTCGCTAAGCAATAAATCTCTCTAAATTAAGTTTTCCCTTAAGATACATAAACATTAGCAGGGATTTTATGACAGCTTTTTGGTAAATATTCTACTTTACGCTCCTTTGTTATGTAGATCCCCGGCATGTTAATATAAATGTTTCTTCAAATTTCTAGTACAAAGTGGGTATCATGACATTTTACACACGCCGCTTTTTCCCCGCGGAAGAAAGTATAATACCAGTTCTTTTTGGTTATGGAGACAGTCGCCATTCAGTAGTCTCTATTGCAGCAAAGGAACTTCGGACACTAAGCATGTAAGTAATTTTGGTGTTACTACTTCACAACCCTAACTTTTTGCCTCTAAAGAAATCAGTAACGTAATTTAATAGGGTACAAAAGGCAAATTTAGTGCTGCTTATTTATTAATTATTATATGTATAATCATTCTTGTGATATTCACAACTCATTTTTGTTGTTGTGATTTCGCCCTTCCAAGTTTCATAGCGACAAATATATGCGCGGATTTGCTTTATATTTATTTTAAGACCAAAGAGTAAGCAATAAAAAAACTGCCACAGGGTTAGATGACATATATGTGCAAAAAATGTGACTAGATGTCACATAGCGCAAGTGAAAATGTGATCTAGTTTAAATGAGTCCCGTGTGTATATGTTAAACTTCTTTTGAGTACGAGGATACTGAGATTACCTTTTTGACTAGAGACGAGATGTCAGGTTTGAATTTAGTTTGTACATATGGGCAAAAATGTTTATGTAGAAATTTGTTAATTATCACAATTGCTGCTGCCACCATGACGATGGTTGGGCTTACCTATCATGAAAAACAAATCAGGCTACACTGGCTGGAACAATCATTCCTAAAGGTCCTACCTTGCCATGCAGGTCGGTTGAAGAGTGGTTAGACTAAAAAACACGGTCCGAGGGTTAAGTCGTACCGCTGACTGTACAGAGGTGTGGTAGCAGTAAGGTGTTCCCCCCAGAAAACCAGCATAGGAAAAACGGGTTTTAAAAAGGTCGACCCTAAAGGTACACACTGCGTTATCTCATAGATATCCGTCTCCGACGTTAGGGTTTCAACAAGTATGGAGCTAACACAAAAATCACGCACAAGGTCGTGTGTCACCAGCGTCAAACAGTTGTCTCTTAGGCACTGCGGTTAGGCTCTTAGGTCACTTAGAACAACTGCGTCAACACCTGAACTAAGGATAGGGAGTGAAGTAGTCGAACGCGTCGACAAAGTCACTTATCTTGGAAGTCTGATCAACCCAAATGTGTTGGTGTTTGAGAAGATCTCTGCATGAATTCTAAACGTTCGTTTGGCTTTTGCCAACTTACGTCACCTATGGCGAGGGAATGGTGGTAAATCTGTTAATGAGGTTGTGAATCTTCATCGACTGAGATGGTTGGGCCACGTGCTGCGTATACCTGAACACCGATTACCACGACGTGCAATGCTAACCGGTGTTGGAGATGGTTGGAAGAAAGTTAGGGGCGACCAAACCAAAACGTGGCATCAGTGCTTGAAGTCACTAACTTGTAGTCTGAGCCATGTTGGTAGATGCAGACTACTTGGTTGGAGTCCGCGTGACCATCATTACCAATGGTTGGAGACTCTTGGTGACATAACTCAGACTCGATCACAGTGGTATAGGTGTACACACTCTTTGTCTTCCCTTAAACTTTGAGATTAAAATTGCTTCATATCTTTCTTTCTACGAACTAATTCTTTCTTCCTGTAATATATCCTCATACACAAACGTTTTTTTATATATATTACTATCATTGAAGTAACTACTTCTATGAATTTGTTGTTGATCTTGTTTTGTTAATGAGGTATGGCAACTTGAACCGATGCATATATGTGCCTGGTCCTACGTTGTAACTCACTGACCATACAACTTCAAGTATGTCTGATTAGACAGTATCCCAAAAATTTATCGGTAACTACAGATGACACTTGTTTGCACCAGATCTTGTATTGATTATGACTGGCGGGAACAATTTCAGCTTAAATTTTGGTCAAAACTGATGTGCCGCAACTCCTACTTCAATACGATTAACGAGACTGTGACATCCTCTCCTTACCCTTCTTCTACTAACTAGAGTGAAAAGTTCACTTGTTGTGTAGAAACATTTCTTAACAAAACCAAGAATTCAGAATACATTAAAATGATAAGTTTTATATCGGTTACAGTGATCGTAGTTAGGGAACGCAATAACTGTCAGTTAACGCAAAACATAATGAAAAATGCATTGAAACCCTTTGAGCAGAATTTACATTGAGTACATTTTCATAACGACAATTAATTTAAAATGGATGCCGACATTATTCACCCTGAGTTCCACATTCTAATCATAATCACTAACTTTCTTATTGCTTTCGTCAGTAGAAAACCGGTAAATTTGTAAATCTCATACATAAATTCATTAATCCAACATCCTAAATATTCGAATTTTCATGGTTTTTATTACTACTGTTTGTATTTTGAATTAGTCTGGTAGATTGGGAAGATGAATCATTGTTAAATCGACTTCTAGCTTGGTATCTTGGTCGTCGTCGAGATTTCGATCCCAAAGTAAGTTCATTCAAATCGAATAAAATAGCTCTCTCTATACTTACTTACTTACGCCTGTTACTCCTCGTGAAGGAGCATAGGCCGCTCACCAGCATTCTTCATCCAACCCTGTCCTGGGCAATCCTTTCCAGCTCCTTCCAGTTCCTATTCATCCTTTTCATATCTGCTTCTATTATCCGACGTAATGTGTTCTTAGGCCTTCCTTTTTTCCGCTATCCTTCAGGATTCCAAGTTAAGGCTTGTCTCGTGATGCATTTTGATGATTTGAGTAATGTATGTCCTATCCATTTCCATCGTCTTTTCCTAATTTCTTCTTCAGCTGGAAGCTGATTTGTTCTCTCCCACAAAAGGCTGTTGCTGATGGTATCCGGCCAATGGATGTTGAGTATCTTGCGAAGACAGCTATTTATAAATACTTGTACCTTCTTGATGGTGGTTGTTGTAGTTCCATACAGTAGAACTGCCTTGACGTTGGTATTGAAGATTCTCACTTTGATATTGGTTGAAAGTTGTTTTGAGTTCCATATGTTCTTCAATTGTAGGAATGCGACCCTTGCTTTGCCAATCCTTGCCTTTACGTCTGCATCTGAACCTCCTTGTTCATCGATGATGCTTCCCAGGTATGTGAAGGATTCTACATCTTCCAGAGTTTTGCCATCAAGAGTGATTGGATTGCTGTTCTCGGTGTTGTATTTGAGGACCTCGGTTTTCCCTTTGTGTATGTTGAGGCTACTGATGCAGAGACTGCTGTTACACTGGCTGTCTTCATCTGCATTTGTTCATGTGTATGCGATAGGAGGGCTAGGTCATCTGCGAAGTCCAAATCGTGTAATTGGTTCTGAGCTGTCCATTTTGTGCCGTGTTTTCCCTCAGATGTCGAGGTCTTCATAATCCAGTCGACCACCAGAAGAAAGAGGAAGGGAGAGAGTAAACAGCCTTGTCTTACTCCAGTCCTTACTTGGAATGCATCTGTCAGCTGTCCTCCATGCACGATTTTGCATTGTAGTCCGTCGTATGAGTTCCGGATAATGTTGACAATCTTCTCAGGATTTCCGTAGTGTCGTAGAAGTTTCCATAACGTCCTCCTATCCACACTGTCAAATGCCTTTTCATAATCAATGAAGTTAATGTATAGTGACGAGTTCCACTCAACTGATTGTTCGGCGATGATCCGTAGTGTTACAATTTGGTCTGTGCATGATCGATCCTTACGGAATCCAGCTTGTTGATCTCGTAGTTGGGCGTCTACTACATCCTTCATCCGGTTCAGCAACAGTGTGTTGAAGACCTTCCCTGGTATTGATAGCAGTGTAATGCCTCTGTAGTTTTCACATTTGCTCAGATCTCCTTTCTTTGGAATCTTGACGAGGTGCCCTTCTTTCCAGTCCATCGGCACTTGTTCCTCCTCCCAAATCTTTTTGAATAGAAGATAAAGCATGTTTGTAGTTGCTTCGATGTCTGACTTCAGTGCTTCAGCTGGTATGTTGTCCGGTCCCGCTGCTTTCCCGTTCTTGATTTGTCTGACGGCCATTCTGATTTCTTCCTTCGTTGGTGGGTTGACGTCTATGGGAAGATCTGTGTGTGCTGCTTCGATGTCCGGTGGATTCATTGGAGCCGGCCTATTCAGGAGTTCCTCGAAATATTCTACCCATCTGTTCCGCTGTTGTTGAACTTCAGTGATTGGCTTGCCTTCTTTGTCTTTGATCGGTCTCTCTGGTTTACTGTATTTCCCTGATAGTTTCTTCGTTGTATCGTAAAGCTGTTTCATATTTCCTTCTCTAGCAGCTCTTTCCGCCGTCGTTGCTAGTTCTTCCACGTATTTCTTCTTGTGGGATCTAATGCTCCTCTTCGCTTGCTTGTTTGCTTCTATGTATTCAGCTTGTGCTTGGACTTTCTCTGCTCGTGTTCGGCTGTTGTTGATTGCTGTCTTCTTGTTCTTTCTTTCTTTGATCCTGTCCAGTGTTTCTATAGAGATCCACTCCTTATGATGGTGTTTCTTTAGGCCCAGAACCTCTTGACACGTTGAAGTTAATGATTCTTTGATACTTTTCCAGTTATCCTCCATAGTAGTTTCTTCTTCTTTCAGTAGATCTTGTAAGGCTTGGAACCTGTTGTTGAGAGCTATCTTGAATTCATTGAGTTTGTCAGGATCTCGAAGGAAGGCTGTATTGAACCTTTGTATTGCTGTTTGTCCAGTTGTCCAGTTCTTTTTTAGCTTCAGTTTTAAATTGGCTACAACTAGGTGGTGATCTGAAGTTATCCCAGTTCCTCTCCTGGTTCTCATATCTTCCATTGTCCTTCGAAATTTTTTGTTGATGCAAATATGATCTATCTGGTTCTCTGTAGTGTGGTCCGGTGAGATCCATGTAGCCTTTGTATACGCTTGTGTGGAAATATTGTGCCCCCTATGACCAATTTGTTGAATGCACATAGATTTGCAAATCTTTCTCCATTTTCGTTTCTCTGTCCCAGTCCATGTCGTCCCATAATATCTTCATATCCGGTGTTGTCTATTTCGACTTTGGCATTTAGATCTCCCATTAGAATGGTGAGGTCCTTTCTTGGGCATTTCTCTATGATTGACTGCAGCCGCTCATAGAGTTGATCTTTAATGTCGTCGTTGCTATCATTAGTGGGTGCATAACATTGGATAATATTCATTAAAATCCCCTCCTTCTTTGTTTTGAACGATGCTTTGATGATTCTGGATCCGTGAGATTCCCATCCTACAAGTGCATTTTGTGCTACTTTGGACAGCATTAGAGCGACTCCCTGAGTGTGTGGAGCATTTTCGTTTTCGTGACCGGAGTATAGCAGCATCTCTCCGTAGCTAGCCTTTTCTGTCCAGCTTGGGTCCAGTGGGTTTCGCTGTTTCCCAGTATTGCCAAATTGTATCTCCTCATTTCCGTTGCAATTTGACTGGTCTTCCCGGTCTCCCGCGTTGTTCGAACGTTCCATGTACCTACAAAAATGTTTCCTCTGGTTGTTAAAAGGGGCATCGGCCTCGTGGCTTCCGAAGGACCTCGGCTTTCAACATGAAGCGTCATAATTCTTCTAACAGAAGACCTTCTAACTCCCAGGGCAGAGTTAAAATGGTTTGAATTATTTTTTCTGGTAGGCGTTTTTTAGCGAGTTAGTTTTCTACGGGATGGGGACGCTAACCCTATGTCCAACCCTCCTCCTTTACCCGGGCTTGGGACCGGCAGTAACTCTAGAAGAGCTACAGGCGGAGTTCTCTCTATATATATACAGTTTTATGCATAAAATGTTGTAGGGAAAACGTAAAATTAATTACATCAAAAAAGATGTCATCACAGCATATAAGTCTCATGGTTTCATTCGGAGATGCAGTTCGTGGGATATCGACAGTATAATTACGGAGAAGGAATATATTGATAGCTTATAATTGTCTGTTATAAAGCATACGACATAGTTTCTTCTCGTCAGAACCCAGTATATCAGAAAGTGTAAACTAGGATACTATTTTGAGGAACAAATTAAACACCCTTTCGAGTTGTGATAAGCGAATTAGAATTTTATTGTCATTATAAAAGTGACGCTTTCACAGTTCAAACCAACTATAATGAATGTGATACGTTCGTGCGTTATAATAATGTTTTGCAATACTGATTGTCGTACAATGAACGCGACTGCTTCTATTCTCTTTAATTATTCCGTTAGCTAAAGTAAAGAGACTAGTTCAATAGTTGAGGCTTTTTGATGATGATCCCAGTATATTAATTAAAAATACATTTAAGTTAATCAATTATATATCGACTATAATTATTAGAATTTGTAAACTGATAATTTATTACTGATTGGAAATAGTAGTAAAAATGTACTGAAAGTTTATGAGCTGAGTTCACACTGAATAATATAAACTAATGGAGATCCACTTTAATAGACGCCAAATTCTTTACTCATAAGTTGTATTTAAGGGTTGAACACATTAAACAGAATCTCACAATTTATGAGAAACGTTCACCGAAATTCCCCAACCAGTCACTTCAAAAAGAAAGAAAACCGTGGTATAGAACTAAATAGTCAGCTAGAAAGCCTTTATAAATTATGACCACACCATAACATGAGTTGATTGTCGATTCCTACTTCTAGGCTCGGTGGAACTGTGCTTCATGTGGTAGAAAGTTATGCATCAAGAAATAACGTCAACCAAATACTCCTTAACAATGGATTGTTCTCAAGTCAGTCAGTTAGCTACAATATAGGACCAGGCATATATGTGCATCGGTCCAAGCAACAGCGTTCTGACGTTAAAATGTTTCCTAAATAACTAATATATGTATGTTATTTTGTATACAACTCACATGATTAACAAATTCAACGAAAGATGGTAGTTTAACGCGCCCATAGACGATGTCATGAATAATATTAGGGTCAAGAAACTGTTCGAAAGCCACGCATGCTTCAGCTCTTACACGAGGATCCCTGAAATAAAAATAAAAAATAAAAACAAAGAGTTTCTTTAGGAATAGTAAAGGAATTTATATTCACCCCTGTAAGTGTTTGAAAACAATTTATTCGAGCAGAGATTTCAAGTATTCTATTGAAGAAATTTACTGTTAATATAAAGATCGAAAACATATTTTAAGGATAAGAACACAAGATACTTTTTAAATACTAATGAAAAACTGCTATATATAGATCTATCCTCCGTAAAAAAGTCCTTGTTTCTTGAGTCAGAGAACTAACCAAAAAAATTTAAAGCCTATTTAAATCAGATAGTAAGCGACCAAAGTGGAACTCAGCGTTTCAGGACATTGGTCATAGATGTAAACTATCTACTTTATAATTATTTACATCCTGATCTCCAGACAGAACAACCTTACTGAATAATACATAACTTTGTTGAAACAATCAGCAAGAACCATTTAATCACTTTTTATCTTATGATTTTATTTTAGTTAAAATTGTATATACAGTGATATCTTTCTTAAAAAGTTCTTTGCAGTCAAAGGTCAGGATTGTATTTTGCTATTCCATGGCTCAGTGAGATAAGGTTATAGTGACAGAAATCATGCATGATTATTGCGAATTCTTTTCGATTGTCGAACTATAGCCTATTCCGTCATATAAAGGTTGCTAAAGTTTATCAGATATAATGCTCGAGATAATTCCTCGCTTAACAGGCAAAAGTCCAATTAAGCCTGGCTCAAAGGAGGCCTTGTGGTTATAGTAAAAAGGCCCACGATACAAGTTGCAGAAAAAGAGCAGCTTAATGAGGAGAAAGACAACTAACGAAAATATTAATTTAAAACAACCTATTAACTTAATGCCCTTAAATTAAAAAAGGTTATATAAAATCAAACAGCTGAATAAAACTGGACGGATATAATCAAATGAACCATAAAAATTCAAAAGAAAGCAACGTACTTGTCGCCCAATGCCTGCAGTATAAGATACCTCGTAGGGATGTGATCAGATGGATATATTAGACCGGCAAAGCTGACTGCAACTAAACGACTCAGGGGGTCGGGCTAAAAGAGAGTAACCAATTATTTTGTTCAAAATTAGTTCTATATTAGTTATAGGAAATAGAAAACTAGCGGTCAAATAGAAAATAATTTGATTTAACCTCACATAAAAGGGATGTGGGTTTTTGACATTTTATACAATATTCCAGTTATATATGCATGTGTATCTTGCTTAACAATATCTAGAGCTAACTTTTTATTTGCCACTTTTTAAGGAAGATAATTCTGTTTTAGTTACGGAAGGGACTTAATGGTCAAAGGTTCGATAGTGGTGATCGTCATCTGAAGCTTTGTGTAGGTTATAATCTGTTTATGACCAGGACCAACTTTTCATACAGTCGTGGCCACTATTCTACCTGTCCTCCTATATTGGCAAGTCCAGTCTAAACTGAAAGTAGTGACATTGTGATCAGCTACCGAATGCCGGCATGTGTGCAAGACTACCATTTTTTAAGTACTTGTCAGGATCTCGATTACGATCGGTTATCCCTACAATTTCATTGCTATGACGCATGTTTAGTACCCTATGTGGTCAGACTTCATAAATAAACTGCCCACATGCAAATATGGAAAATTCCTTCAAGGTGAACAGAGAATTTTTCACACTATTGGAAATACGCCGATATCAAAAGAATGTTCACAACTATTTGAATTAAGTATGGTTTCAAAAAATATGCATTATAAATTTTCGAAAATATATCGGGAATTGAAAAATACCTTCTCAATATTTTCATAGAGAAGACGTTCCAACTTAACTAAGTGTCCTCGAATAGAAAGACAATTTTGTTTTTGTGCACTGTGTAAAGAGACTGCTAGCCTTCTCAAACAATGAGCTGCAGCAAGTTTCAGTTCATTAGGATTCTCCTGAAATAAAATTATGAGAACATTTCAATAAGCAAACTTGCAAATAAAAGACTTAGTTTATCGAACTCTTAGGAAACGAACTAGAAGGTTATTGAAACATTTGAATGCCATGACATGGACGGGTAAGGGAAGAGATTACACTCACTTTCAACTGAAAGTTAGGTCCTGTTCTAGCAGATATTTTCGTGTCTAATCTCGAAAGAACCAAGCTCAAAGGAGCGATTGATGAAATGATGTATTATTCGAGGTATGTTGATGATACCTTCATCGTATGTAATAATCAAAAACATGAAACAAATCTGCTAAAACTTTCAACCAAGCCCACCAAATATCCAGTTTACTAAGGAACATGAAAATGAAAACAAGTTCCATTTTCTCGATATCACAATAAAACGAAAGAAGGATGGCACAGATCAACGTTCAGGTTATAAGAAACACACATAGAATGGGATTTATCCAAATTTCAATAGCTTTTGTCCAATCACTTACAAAAATGCAGTTGAAACACTGTTTCACAGAACAGAAATAATATGTAATGCCGATACTCTAGATGTGGAAGCAATGAATGTTAACATATGTTAAACGCATATCCACTGAAATTTATTGAGAAATGGAAAACGTGAAGATAAAAGACTCAAAGAAACTGCAGTAAATAAAAAAACAACTTTATTAAACTTAAATCTAAAGGTGATGATGTCACAGTATCAATCAATATAACTAAAAACTGCATTGACAAGAACTTATACTACAGCTAAACTTATTGTCCTGTCCAAAACAACATAATCTTTAGCACAATCAAAAGTCGATAGGTATCCCTTTCATGTTATCACCTACCGTGTATACAAATTTACATGTATCTACCAAAGCAGTTACATTCATAGAACAGAAAGGAGAGCCTACATTTGATTTTAAGAACATACTTCGAAAAGTTATAGGTCAAGTGGATTAAAAGCATTTAGCAGTGCCATCTCAAGACATCTCCTTAACACAGGACATCAAGTTGATACACTGAAGTCTTTCAAGGTGATTAACAAACAAACTCCAATCTTTTGACATTTGCAGATACGATAGCGATCAAACGTCTAAAACCAGATTTATGTATCCAAAAAAGGCAGTAATAAATGTTTTTTTGCCCTGGTAATAATAATAATAATTTGAATCATTTGATTGTTAGTTGAAGCAAGAAAAGTAGTTTCGATAATTATAGGCAGCTCATCATTTGTGTGTGAGCTGTGATACTTCCCGGGTGCCAAAACCGAAGGAGGAGGTTATCTTAAGGGGCCACACCCCGAGCCTTTGACCCAAAGGTTTAACCCACAAGGTAGTGGAGCATCGTGAGGTGATGCAGTCCCATGGTACTCGGTGACCGAAAATTGGTTCATGCGCCATTTGTTCCCGCAGGATACTGGATCCCATGTGCACCATTGATTTGGTTTGGGATCCGGTTAAAGCTCCGGACATTCGCTTTTTCTCCTCTCATTTTAGTAAACAACACCCTCGCCACGAGAAGGCCGTGAGTATGACTTCCTTGACAGAGGCTATATACGCGTGACCATCTGAGAGCGTTTCGAGAGGGAGGGCGGACCCTCCCCACTCTCGGCCGTTAATGGGCATTCGGGAGTCCGCGTGACTATCGTAACCAATTGTTGGAGACTCTTGGTGACATAACTCAGACTCCATCACAGTGGTATAGGTGTATACACTCTTTGTCTTCCCTTAAACTTTGAGATTGAAATTGCTTCATATCTTGGTTTCTACGAACTAATTCCTTCTTCCTGTAATATATCCTCATACACAAACGTTTTTTATATATATTACTATCATTGAAGTAACTACTTCTATGAATTTGTTGTTGATCTTGTTGTGTTAATGAGGTATGACATCTTGGACCGATGCATATATGTGCCTGGTCCTACGTTGTAACTCATTGATCATACAACTTCAAGTATGTCAATGCTTATCTTCGCGGAGTTAAGCCATACCGGTTTTACTCGAGTTTAACATTTTTTGACTGTAGATAGTGTGCGAATCGTGTGCTAGAAAACCGTGTGTTTGAAGAAATGTCTGAATTTTCTGCGTATGTTTTCTTAGCTTTCCGAATTCTGCGGGTGTATTTCAAACATTTTTTACAATTATTCTTTCTACTTCGATTTTATCCAGAGACTTGGCACATACCGTGATCTTTTCGTGAACCAATTATTTTCGTTTTGTTTTACCTTTTAAATGTCTCTGTTAGTAACATAATATGTTTCTGTTTATTCTGATTTTAGGGACGCAATGAGCCTCGTCGTCCTCTTAGCCCCAATATGCGCATCAAACTTGGTCATTATCTTATGCGTTCGCGTATAACATTTCCTGGCCCTTTAGCTTCTAGCTTAGTGGAAGCTGCAATGCTTGCTCTTGATCCGAGTTCATTAGCACAGTCAAATTTTCTTTCAAACTCTGGACAAAAGTGTACGGCTAACTGCATTCATGGTACGATTGAGAATGGTTCTACTTCAGATACTGATTCTGGAACTTACGTACAAACATCTAGTAAGGCCCAAACAGAAGAAACAATACCCGCCAGTACACCTGGGAATCCTACTTGTTCTTCAACCTCAGTTATTCAACAGAGGCGCTTAGCTGAGCATGGGCTAGATTTACTTTCTCATCTTATCAATAAGTAAGCTTAACCTTTAGCTCCTCATATTTGTGGTGTTTGATTTTTTCCGTGACTTATTTTCTAGTCTTTCAAAGTATCTGTTCTATTTCGAGATAGTTTACAATTATGCTAAGTTGAGAACAGCAGGAAGATATCTCGTTATTTGAAGGGCAGGCCCGTATGCCAGAGGTCTCGACAGTTGAGCTTTGAAGTTCTTTAACAATAATAACAATTCCTCAGACTATTGATAAGGAGAGATAAAAAAGGCTTGAGATTCTAAGAATTTCATGTTGTGATACAACAACTTATGCAGAAAAAATTATTAACTTAGGACGTAGCAGAAATAACAAATTAAAATTGAGCGTAATCAGTCAAATAATAGCAAATGTCAGTGGGTAGTATCAATTTTAAAAATACGTTATCGAGGACTTCCTTGCTCGTTGGAGCACTAATTTATCGGAGCGAGTAACAAACCTAGAAAGCTTTCGGCTTTTCTTTCGGTATCAAAACTAAAAGTGGATCCTATTATAATTTCTAAAAAGTTACCTTGAAGTATAACAAAACACTCCATTTATTGATAGTATTTATATATGTAGATGTAAAAAAGGGTTAAATAACTTTAACTTGACAACCACCACGGTAAAAATCTATCTTGACCGATGCGAAACAAGTGGCAATCAAACCACTCCATGTAGTCACTGACTATTGGTCTGAGCTTCAATTTTCACCACTACTTTTGATGGTTTTAGAAAAATCCTTTATCTTTCCCTTTACTGCAATGGTATGGAATATTACTTGAGCTAGTGCACACTAACTTGAAGTTATGGGTTACCGCCTATCTATTATTAGTTTTGCTTTACTAGACCATTCAATAGCTTCTATGAGTATAATCAAACCTCAAATAACCTACCTGAATTCCCGTTTCTTAAGCCTATGGTTATATTTTGTGAGACCAAACCAGTAAGTTTAATTTTCCACACTTGCAGTTTTTTCTTTAGAGATATTAGTCATTAAAATCTTTAACGCATTACGAACCACATCATTTGATTCTCCCAGAAGACTCATGCTCTAGTGCGAGCTCGTATTTGTCTGCGTCTTACTGGACGTAGGAAAGACGCACGTAAACCTTTTAGGACCCTACTTAATGACAGTCAAGCTAAGAGTATATTTCAGGAACAACTAGGAAAACAGGCAGTCATGTAGGTGATGCCCAACCCAAGGCAGCTTGGAATGATATCCGAAAAGCTGTGAACACAGCAGTGATATCTGCTAATACAGTAAACCACAAGGTTAGGAAGCAACACTGGATCTCAGCAACATCTACCGCACTGATAGTTGCTCAAAAACTTATTACATCTGGCTCTGAACATAACGAAGAGCGGAGTTAGCTTAAGCGTAAGCTGACAAGAAGCCTACGCAATGATCGTGGACAGTGGTGGGTAGCGAAAACAAGAGAGATGGAAAAGGAAGCGGCAATAGGTTACAGCAGACCATTGTTCAGACTTGTTAAGGAAACCGGTATTAGGAAACCGACTGTTAGCGAAACAATCTCAGAGAAATATGGATATATCATACATTCTCAATCCAGGAGATTGGATCGATGGGCAGAACACTTTATGGATCAGTTCAACTGGCCTTCAGCCACACTTCGGTTTCCGACGATCTCCAGTCAACCTTAATGGCAAGTTAATGTAGGTCCTCCATCTCTTTACGAAGTTGAAAAAGCTATAGGAAATCTGAAGCGAGGGAGAGCAGCAGGCCCTGACAGGTTGACTCCTGAGATTTTTAAGGATGATGGTCCAGTATTAGCAGTGAGATTAACTGAGGTCCTAGGTAGAATTTGGGAACTGGACGTAATCCCATCTGACTGGTCTCAATCACTGATTGTGCGAGTCTATAAGGAAGGACAAAAGTCCTCTTGTGACAATCACAAAGGAATCAGTTTGACTAATATAGTGTCTAAAATATTAGCTTCAATAATACTTCGACGCCTAACTAAAGCTCGTGAAGAGCAGACTAGAGGAAACCAGGCTGGTTTTCGACCTGGACGTGATCCTATAGACCAAATATTCACACTACGTCACACTAGGTCCTAGAACACAAACACACATTCAGACGCTCCACAATGGTAGTGTTTCTCAACCTTAAGGCACAATTCGACTCTGTTGATCGTGAGGTTCTATGGTAGTGTTTGTTACTGAAAGGAGTACTAAAGAAGTACAGTAACTTTGTAAAGGCTCTCTACTCGAACACAACTGGTCGAGTGAGAGCTTATGGCGAACTGTCATCATAATTGATTACCTCAAGTGGTGTTCGTCAGGGCTGTCCACTCTCTCCATTCTTGTTTAACTTTGTCGTTGACGTGCTTTTAGAGATAACACTTTTCTCGGCTAAATTTCCAGGGGTTGAACTTCTACCAGGAGATTCACTTGTTGACTTGGAATATGCCGATGACATAGTTCTATTTGGTGAAGATTGACAAAATGCAGAGTCTTCTGACCACTCTAGGCAACAATGCAAGCATGTTCGGGATGCGATTTTCTCCCTCGAAATGCAAAATGTTGCTTCAGGATTGGGTTGCATCGACACCCGAACTAATGATAGGGAATGAAGTAGTTGAGTGTGTCGACCACTTCACTTATCTTGGAAGTCTCATCAGCCCTTGTGGTCTGGTGTGTGACGGAATCTCAGCACGGATACAGAAGGCTCGACTAGCTTTTGTCAACTTGCCTCGTTTATGGCATAGGCGAGATATCCGTCTACCAACCAAAGGACGCGTTTACTGTGCAGCAGTTCGTTCCGTCCTACTTTATGGCAGTGAAACATGGCCGGTAAGAGTAGAGGATATTCGTAGACTACTAGTATTTGATTATAGGTGTCTTCGAAACATTGCTCGTATATCCTGGGACCATCGAGTAAGTAATGCAGTTGTTAGGAAATGGGTACTAGGTAAGGATGGCAAATCAATTGATGAAGTAGTGAAAGTTGATCAGTTGAGATGGCTGGGGCACGTGTTACGTATGCCCAACAACCGACTGCCTCGACGTGCGATGTTTCCTGGTATAGCAGTAGGTTGGAAGAAAACTAGGAGCGGCCAGACCAAAACACGGCACAAGTTCATGAAGTCACTGACAAGTGGACTGAGCCATGTTGGTAGGTGTAGACTACCTGGTTGGGGACCGCGAGATTTATTTATTTATTTCAACACATAATTATTGGTACTAGAGAGCGCCATTATATATGCGCCACACAAAACAATGAGAATTTAAAGAAAAAGAGAAAGAAAAAATGTAAGGAGCGTGAAAAAAGAGAACAATAACGTAGAAATTGGTGTAAGGTAGTGTAATAATATTGCTGGTAATAATGGGGGAACGGAAAAATACAATCAGAAGAAATCTTTCAGTTAAGGAAGATACAACCACTTTTTACGAAAAAAGTAAAAGAAGGTTACAGCAGGATCGCCATTGGCTTCTACTCTAAGCCATATGTGATAACGTCTCTAGCTAATGTGTAGCACCGTCTCTCAGACCCCAACCAGGGAGTCGTGAAGGACCGACACAAGCCAGTCCTTTGCAGCTTTCTTTCATGCCAAGACACCATGTCATATACTGACCACCTCTTTGCTTTTTTCAACCAGTCCCAGAGTCGGCAAATAATGCACGATGTGGAATTCTCTGGGACGACTTTCGTAGAACATGTCCAAGCCATCGAAGTCAGTGTTTCAAGATGGTGACACCAATTGAATTATCATCTCTGTGCCCGAACACACGATGCCGAACCTCTGCATTACTAACATGGTGTTGCCACTGAATGTCAGCAATCCTTCGGAGACAACAATGATCAAACACAGAGTGTTCTAACGTCCTCCACTCGGAGGCCAGGTTTCATAAGCATAGAGCAAAACTGCTTTCACCGCGTTGTAGATCCGACCTTTTACAGCCAGACTAACATCACGAAGGCGCCAAAGATGGCCCAGATTAGCATAAGCCGCTCTGGCTTTCACTATACGTGGATTGATCTCATCATCGCCACCACCAGCACTTGTACAGCTACCCAGATACACGAACTTCTCGACTACTGTCTGCTCACCATCCAGGGTGAGTACAGGATTGGAATCCTGCCAGTCTTGTAGAAGTACTTTGCGCTTCGATGGTGTAAAGCACATGCTATATCTACGGGCACTGATTGCTAACTGATTAAGTGCGGATTGCATGACTTGGGTACCTTCGCATAGTAAGACAATGTCATCCGCATACTCAAGGTCGAGAAGTCTTTCTCCAGGCAACAGATCCACGCAGCCATTACTTACATCCATTAGAGCTGTTACCAGAACGTCATGGATGGCAAAGTTGAATAGGAATGGTGAGTTTGGGAAACCCTGCCTAACCCCACTGCTCGAATGGGTCAAGGGAGAGAGGTGGTTGATACCCTCACTCTGCTTGAGGTGTTTTTATATAGGGCCTTTAGGATGTTTATAAACTTCTCAGGCACACCCTTACTCAACAGACAATCCCAGAGAACAGTCCTATCCAACGAATCGAAGGCAGCCCTGATGTCAAGAAACACTACGATTGTTGGCCTTTGATAAGTATGGCGGTGTTCTAACATTTGGCGGAGGGTGAAGATATGATCAATACATCCTCGACCAGAATGAAACCCAGCCTGCTCCTCGCGAGCCAATCTTTCTCGGGTTTTGAACAACCTACGAAGTATGATGGAAGCCAATAGCTTGGACGCAATCGGAAGTAGGCATATCCCCTGATAGTTGTTACAGGAACGACGTGAACCCTTTTTAAAGATAGGGACAACTATCGACTCATTTCATGAAGTTGGTACACTCTCTAGTTCCCAAACCTTTGTAGACAACGTTGTCAGTTCCTTAGTCAGAAAGTCACCACCATCTTTAAAAAGAGCTGGAGGTAAGTCATCTGGGCCAGGTGATTTGTTACGCTTCAAGAGTTGGAGTTCCCTGTGAACTTCCGCTTCATTTGGTGGATCAGTCGTCACCGACCATGGATGGC